CAACGTCATTACATACACAGAACTCAGCATGCTTCCGGTACGCTCACTAGGCTCAATCTCTTTCTACAACAAACATATAGCGGAGCTTTTTTGAGCGTTACGAAATTGGAAGCTTTATTTCTCGCCTTCTTCACATTACCGTTACAAGTAACAAAAAAAGAGTAGTGTACAGGTAGCAGAACATTTTTCTCGTCAGGGTCATAAAAAATACTTATGACATCTTTAAGGAGAAAAGGACTGAAATCGACTTTTTTCTTACTATTACATCTTTTCTTCGTCGGAATTTTACCACTTTGCCACGCATTGAATATTGTTGAAATGCTCTTTCACCATTGATGCTTTGTCAAAAGTTGTCAAAGCAAAATTACGGAATGCGTGGCAATGGCCTGGGCCGCGAAATCGCGACTGTTCCACGTAGCCAAAAAAGCCGAAACCCCGCGGTCTCATTGTGTTAAGGAATCCTTCACGGAAAAATTTCTTCTTTCAGCCATAAATCACTGGCTTGAGACTCATTATCCACGATAAGAATGAAAAGAACAGAAATATTGCTTTCGTTTTGGTAAAAATTCGAAAAATCGAAAGGGCTGCTACGCGTTCAAAGTGCCCACGGACGTCTTTCACAAATGCTGGCGACGGGGATGCTTCCACTTGGTTCTTGGAGTGCCTTCACTAGAAACTCTTTCTGGCCTTCTGCTTTATTGCATTCACATCTTACACTTCTACTCCATCCTAATTCCATCGATCGATCGATCTCTTCTCGGTCTCACTCTCGATACCAACCTTTAACCATTAACACATTGACGACCGCGCGCGTTTTGGCTTTTTTGGCCGTGTGGGACCGGGCCGATTTTGCGAGTGCGACCGCCGCACCTCGGATCCGTGAATTTTTATTGATAACTTTTTAAAGCACCAGTGGTACAAAAACATCTCAGTAACAGTCAATGCGTAGAAGGTAATAGAGTATATAGTGACGAAGTTCCGATTAAAGAACATGTAATGGTAATGAAAAAGGAAATTTTAGTCATTTTATCTGTAGTGGATGCCAAAAGCTCTTTTGATGTGGTTATACCAAGTGAAACATGCATTTTTCTCCGTAATAACTAGGGGGAGTGGGGCATGTATTTTTCTGTCTCTTTAGATTTGCATTTACTTTCACTACCCTTTTTTATTGACGTGTTCATGAGAATAGCATGAAAACTATTAATGAACCAAGCCGCCGGTTTCGGTGAGCTTGGAAAACTTCTTCTAAACTGGAGCATATTTGAACAAACAATGACCTATGTCGTTCACAATAATGTTATGTTCTAATCCATAGAAGAGAGACAAACAATTCGGGAAAAAGCTGCGCATGCCCTAGAAAAAGGGATGATAAGGGTGAGACGCGGTAACGCGTCTCAATGTCCAACGAGTTAATCCGGCGTAACTTCGCCTCCGCGCTCCTGCGGGCTTTCGCTTTATTTGGCTCGCCCCCTGCTGCCCGCAAAGTTGAGACGCGTACCGCGTTCACGTCTTGTCGAAGTGTTAACCCGATTCTTTCATTGCGTCGCCTGATACGTAGCCGGCCAAAGGCCAACTTCTTTCCATGCCTCGCCTTTGGCTCCGCCCGAATTACCTTCGATTGTCCATAGAGTGTAGTTTTTGTACGTTTGTTTCTCTTCGGAAACCGAATCTTCATGCGTGAAACTTTGTGTGCTGTTTCCAGTGATCACAACTGACATTCATGTCGGAAAGAAATTCCGCGAAGGATTCCTTCACGAAATTCCTTTGAAGGAAAATCTGTTCGCTGTCTGTTGGCGTGTGGCAGGAATATTCAACAGCGTTCAATAAGTGCATTTAATGCGGTATTAGAACAAAAGGCTGGACTGAATCATCTATCGGTTCAAGCATTCATATCAAAATTCATGATGTCTAACTGTGGTAGGATGGGTTAGTTTCGGCCCACGTCTTGGATGTATACCGACATGAGTAATGGTGTCGGCTGACTTGGACACCGTGACCGCATCAGGGTAGACGGGAGGCGGCAAGGGAGTTGGCGACAGGCTGCACCTAAACCAGGGTCAACCGTCCGTTGGACAAAGTCCAACGAGGGGGGGTCGTATTCGGCCGACAAAAAGGGGGAGGTCGGTCGGAGGTGGCGTCAATCCTACACCAACGGGAGGTCGTAGTGTGACGCTTTACGCTTTGTGACTGTGGGTGTGACGCTAAGAAAAAAATTGCCGTGTTTTACTGCTGAGATATCTACCCCGCTCAACGGCTATGGAAGGGTGGAGTTAGGCTGTTAAAACTGGTCTCAGAATCAAATACTATAGTAACAGCTCTGATGGTAAGGGTGGTGGTCGTTATTGGTGGACCTCCTGAGTCTCATGGTGGTGGAGGGGGGTCGTGAAAAATTTCCAAAAAGTACCAACGGTAGGGTTGACCCTGGGGTAGGGGGGTATCGTGGCTCTCCACAAGGGGGGTTGAGCGTCCCACAGAAACCTCCTGCCTCCATTTGTTCCACGTAGCGTTGTTTGAGGAGTTGCGTGTACTTTCAATGTGCTAGATTTAGGAACAGGAGCAGCAAGACTACTCAGAAATTGAAAAGCAACAAAATATACGGCTTAGCCGTAACATGAGCACAATCAGATAAAAAGCAGCCAAGGTTTGAAAAAATTAAGCGAATAGAGGCGTAAGGCTGGTGTCAGAATCCGCGACGGATCGCGAGCTCTGACACCAGCCTAAGATTTTGACATAGACATCAGTCTTATCTCGGAATCTGACGCGTAATAGAGTCTAAGGATTTTACGGTAAGGGAGGAGATCGAAGGGGAAACTCACCATATAGAGAGACAAACAGAATTCCAAGGGGTGTGAAGAGGGCAGCACCGATGAGAGTGGCATCATTGCGCAAATCAACGAATCGAAAGGGGTCCCATTTCTTGGGTTCCAGGTTATCTTTCTCGGTTTTTTTCTTACCTCATGCGTGACTGATATGCGCTGCCTTTTCATCGTGAAATCCGCTTTTAAATTCAAGCCCGTGGAAGCACTCACAGCAACTGGAACTACATTATGAACACAGGGCCAACCCATGTACAAGCCCATGTTGACCAAATGACTCTTGTACTCTTGTACCAGTCAGTCAATCAAAAAGATCAAATTTCTGGCTCCCCCGCAGATTTGATTCAGAACATTACTTTAAAAAAAGGTACGCGGTCAGCAAGCAATATTTGCAACATTCGCCTTTGCCCAAAGAGAAATGCGTGGCGGATGGGTCGTAGCAAGTAGGAAAGAGACCTCTCTTTAGTGCTGAAAATATCTCCTGAGTGACCACGTGGCTAGCAGCCCCACAACAAGTAAACGTTCGAACAATTGCTGGGTTGCTCAAAGCAATTGCTCGTGTTTCAGAAATTATTTTTCACAATAATGCCACGAAAATAAAACAATGTTTATGTGAAATCTATTATTCTAAAAAAACAACCACTGAGAAGCTTTAGTTATCGTCGGACATGAAAAACATCAACTAAACAGTAAGAGCTATTACTGAAATCAGTACCTAATAGGAGAGCTGTTATAAAAATCATTGCCTAATAACGGAAGGCAGTAAAAAAATAGTCAAATGCGATACTGAAGAGTACGAGGTAGACGAAATTCCTGAGTTTTCATTCCTGAGTAACACGAGAGTGCAAAAACCTGAGTGTAGAGGTAGAAATATGGCTAATAAAAATAATGACATCACGTTATTTGTAGTGAAATCTCCCCGAAATGTGCGAGAGCTGGCGTCACGAAACAAATATTAAAACCGAGTGTAAAAAATATCTCAACAAAATATAAATAATCAAACACTAAGTACAGAGGCGCCCAAAGCATCTACTAACATTGCGGGTGAATTTTTCAGGTGGATGCAGTTGATTTAGTTGCAATTAATTGAGCTTCTTGCTCTTGTTTGAGTTCTTCTCCTTCATGTCCACCACCTAAAAATATTGGATTAGGGTTAAAATTCTTCCCAACTTCATTTTTATATAGATGGCGTAATTTTCGGTGTTTCTAAAGGTCCTCGCTGGGTGAGTTATCCACTAGGGCTCTCGACATGATATCGAAAACGCTAGAAGCGATCGGCCGAGTAGATAGCAAATCGAAAGCACACAACTATCTTTAGGCTTCTCGAGAAGAAGAAAAGCTCGAAACATGATAAACAATAAAGATTCCTTCGCACTGTCTACTGAGGGCTTCTCCATCAAAGAACGCCGTCAGAATTAATAAAATGAGCAACCAAACATATAGCAAAACTCCCGGTCTTGACATAGTCTGTAGACCTTTTGATATTGTTGCAAAGCATACCCGCTTGGCGGTTTAACTCGGTGATATTGCGTGAGGAGAAGAGCAGCCAAAGGTTCTTCTCAAAAAATGGTCATTCACACCACAGCGTGTAGGATTGGAATCGTGTGGATTGTGTCCACTTCTATTACGCGTTCCTTTGCAAGATGCCTCAGTCGCCCTTTACATACCGTTCACCTAGTGGCCGATGTCAGACTTTGCGATTGGAGCGATTTGTGCACCAATTGCAGGAGCGACGGGAGATTTACACCGCCGACCACCGATAATTCGGCGCCATCAGCTCGTAAATCTCCCGTCGCTCGCAGCTCCCTGCCACAACGGCCAAGGAGGCACATCACGGCCCGAGCGATGGATCGCTTGAGCGATCCGTCGCTCCAAAGTGCGAGCGACGGGAGATTACCCCACGCGGGCCCCGCGTACTCCGGTGGTCGCCGGTACCGGTGTAAATCTCCCGTTCCGTCCTGCAAATTGGTTGCAAAATTGCTCCAATCGAAGTTGACAACGGCAGTTCTGAAAACTCACAGAAAAGATCAGGAAAAAATTCGAAATGTCGGAAAATTTTTCCGCAAACGTGGGTAAAATATGTATGCATTGTAAATAGGTTACCTGACTTGGCACGGTGAGTCACTTTAGGACAAGCAGTGAACAGATGGTCTGCTGCTCCACAACCATAACATACCTAGAAAGACCTGGATTAAGGTCGAATTTAGTTTTTGTTCAAAGGATTCGAACAACAACAGTACTCTCCTGGAACCACTGTTCAAAGCGAGTTGAATGGTTGCCTCCGAACATTTTACAAAAGGAATGAGCTGCTCCACCACTTTATTCTTGGTATGACAAACTTCGCTTGAACTGAAGTAGAATCAAGGAATAGACCCGGTGACATAGATACATTTGAGTGTATGGAAGCTCAAGTGTAGGTAATGACCAAAATAATGATCAAAATATAAAGTTGTCTTGTGCTATGGGTAGTACCTTTTCTCACCGGTTCGCAAGCTCAAAATTCAGTGTTCGCAAAGAATGTAGTTGAGAAACATACCGTTCTCTATAGCAAACCAACTCCTCCCGAAATATAAAAGGTTCAGAAACATGAGATCTTAGCAAAAAAGACTACTCGAAAAATTCAAAAACCTTAGAATAACCCATGGTGACAAAATCAAGGCGCAATTTTCATAAGAAACTTCATCCATCGGATAATTCGCAGCTCAGACTTCATTGCGAGCTAAATCATCTGGTTAGTGGTATAGCGTTCTCGAAATGCTATACTGGTGATTCGATCTGAGGTCCAAAGGAGGAGGACTGGAGTGACTGACGGTTGAGGTGGCACCCATATTGGAAACCCTGCCCAAGAAAACCCCTGCTGCAGTCGTCAGCCAATTTGTGCCTAAAGAAGTGAGATGGTTAGAGAAGTGTTCCTGCGTATCTAAGTTACTTAAAGATGTAAAAGTCCTGAATGGAACTGGAGTCTGTAGCAATAATGTTCTCCGTAAGATCGTTTAGGACTTTTATATCAGATGCTGTTCATGAACGAGATTCGAGCGGATTTCTACGTTGACGTTGAAGTCAAAAGTGTCGCCCTTCGATAAACACCAATGAAGAACTGCACGAAATGGACCATGAAGAGTCAGGTAAATTCACATGGATGATCACTATGGCTACGGATTTCAAGGCGCGCATCTTTGGCGACTATAACCACGAAACTTGTATATCGCCATTTCCTCAGCGATCACATTTACAATTGAAAGCAATATACAACTACAAGAGGACCATCATTTTCTGTAATAATGCCAGACCCCAAATAGCTCACATTACTCGGTAGTATTCCAACCAAAACATATTGAGAGTTGGGTTGAGCAGCCATATTCGCCCGACTGCAGACGTGTGACCACAACTGTTTTGGTCAATTGAAAGCAACTCAGCGGCAAACGCTACTACAATTTCTTGATCGTCGATATGGACACCAACAGCGCCTCATCTGGACACGTAGAAAAGAAGGAAGATGCTCGGTGTCAAGTGTTTCCTGACCCAACGTGTGAAAGCAAAATGCGCTGCGAAAAAGAACACAATCTACTGCAACGGGCCCACTCCTTAAAAATAAAGGTTGCTTATGAAAAATTCAATTGTTGACTTTACTGCGATCCATGCCATCCCTGCATCGAAAAAAATCACTTGAGTGAACAAAAACTCATTTACACACCTCACATTTACAAGATGGATGTTTCGCCCACAAGAAAGCGTGCGATGCGTGGTTTATGGACCAAGTGATACTCATACACTGCCAAAAATCCTGGTGAACAGATCTGTTAAGAATGGTGGGAGGGGATTCTGATACTTTTTTTCCGATAGTCACATGTCTCTGCGGTCCAACTTTCATGACACTTTCCGCTTTGTTCTCAGGGTCTTTCATTAGTTCGCAATTGAAACAATACTTAGGTGAACATTTCGCCTGAAGTACTTAACCGGAAGTTTCGAAAAGAGATGAAGCCGGAGATGTAATTCGTTTTTGGAAGGTTATCAATCTGGTGGACTAGTCTATTTAGAAGACATCCAAAACCATAAACTATGTACCTTTTCATCGGCCTCCACCTTTCTGCATCGTTGGGCCATATGGTTTTCCAAATCTTCCGCACTTATAGCATCTGAACAATGTGTTTTCACCTTTTCAGTATTTGTATTCACTAAAAAACAAAGCATATACCCAAAAAAGTAAAATTTCACACTATTTCCAGTACTTCTCAATCCCCCACTTGTGCTTCCAAAACCTCTGTACCGGCGAGTTCATCGTTCTCTACCTCAACAGGTTCTACAGGTAGAACATTATTAACGGCGGCATAATGAGTTCCTACTGAAACAACTCGGCAGAACACACTGAATTTAATGTTCCACTGCTCCCCCTTCTCCTTCTATTTCACTAACACGATGTGAACTTTTTCTGCTTCTGTCGTGTATTTTGTTTTCTTGAATCCCCGCTTTACTCTTATAACAAAAGCAATCAAAATGATAATCTCAAGCGACAGCTGATGCAAAAAAACACCCGCATAAACGGAAACGAGCCAGTGCGACGAAACTAGTAATAATATTTTTTGAATATGGCATTGATGACCTGTCGTTATAGACCCTCGGAAATCACTCTATAACACACGAACCCCTTCTCACGGCACGCCATGTCAATAGGAATATCCACACCTATTGGACCGGTATCTGTTTGATGATCCGAAAATGGTTACGGAAAGCGGAAAGCAACAAAGTGATGTGGGAAGCTAACGGCCGACAGACTAACGAAACATTTCGCTAGCGTGTTTCAATTTAATGAGATGATAGTTTACTATTTAGGACAGCTTATCAGGCTTCGCAGATACTTTATGCATTGCCGGAAATAAGGAGTAGTACAAAATGGGTAGTTTCGCAGGGAACGGAAAGCTCAATGGCCGTCGGAGAAGTGGGGTCTATTTCATGACGTTTAAAGGCAAAACATCAAGTTGATAAGGAAACAAACTCGCCCCGATCTTTTCTGACTTTCAGTTTACTACCTATTTTGAGGAGGCAGGATGTGTACAATGGAAACCTGCTCCCCTCCCTCGTCCTTCCAACTTATATACTTATACAACGGTACTGCTACAAGACTTAAATATCTGTGATATCGCTAAATAGGACCAAAAATACTTCCTCTTCTCAATCTTTCTTTGGAACAATAAACTTGCTGATAAAGAACACAGAAAATGAAGAATACATTCAGGAAAACTTCAGTAGTTACCTTATCAAACGATCTTTTTTCGCACCCAACGGACGAATACTGCTTCCAATTAAAGTTTTGTTTTCGTCTTCCGGTCCAACCTGTAGCAGCGATATTATGATACAAGATTGAGCGCCATATCGAAGTGAAAATCCATTGCGGAGTCAAACACGATTACCTCCCAAGCTTCGAGTGCACCTGCACGTTGTCCACTATTCCGGGTACGCACATAGAAACCAACACGCTCTCCCTCCTCCAAACTTCTGAAGCCCTCCATCTTCAACTCTGACTAAAAAGAAAGATGATAGCTGTTTGGTACTGTGCGATGAACAAGATTTTATAGGGGATCCACTTAATGTGCTTGTTTTTAATGAGATCCAAGGACCAAAACGGCCGGTTTTCGTAAGGTGGTGCGAAGAGAAATACGATATTCCAATGCCTCTACAACTCGACAAAAGACATGCGCTTGGCGAACCTCAGAGAGGAGTTGCTTGACTACACCCTCAAATTCCAAGCTACTGCAACTAAAAGAATGTTTCAGGGGAATCCTGAAAATCTACAATCGAATTGTAGTGGACGCAAAGGCAATGATATGGATTACTTGTCGATGCTCAATTTTTTTGAAAGCATCATTTCATTAGCATCATCTTTCAGAATAAATTTAATCCTGTTGAGGTAAGTAGTTTTCTAGCTTCCTAAATGACTCAAAGATTTTCGGAAAAAAAGAGAAAAGTTCCGAGAAGGTCGTAAACATCCTTAAAAAACTCGAAAATTGAGAAAATAAATTAACCTAGGAAACCATTTTTTGAAATTTTGCTTTACAAACAAATTCCAGTATTTCGCTGGGAGCCGAAAATCTGCAGTTCTGATGAAAATTATTATTTTCTGCGAAAACAATCTTGAAAAAAGTTATGATTATTTGAAGACAAAAACTGGCGTTTCCAAAAAAGGCCTACGAACCCAAAAATTCATCAAAAGGGGGACTTTTCTCAAGATCTACTTCCCGAAAAAGATCCAGTACTTATTAAAAAGCAGAGTGTCAGAAACTACGATAGTTCAAAGGAAAATTCCTAATTTCCT